ATTTTGTTTCTGTCAACTTTGAATGAAGCATGTTTTAGCATGGCAAAATTGCGGTTTCTTTAATGGAGTCTAGTGAGTTTGGCTACTGTGATTTCAGAGCTGTGTCTGGCTAAACACAAACAACCCTATTCTTTAACAAAAGGTCTGTCTCTGTAGGGATCCTTTCCATAATGTTTTCAGACGCTTAGAATAACAATCTGAGCCTGTCAGTGGCAAAAGCAAACAGTTTTAGTGGACGTATAGTGACAATGTACAAATGCCGTGAGTGGTTACATCGCAGCCTGTTTCACTGCTGGCGGCTGCAGCAGTTTTGCTCAACACTTGACCAATTTAAAAAAAAACTGTTTTTCCCATTAGTCACTTAGACACAAAAACATGAGAAAATAGGGTCCAGGTTGAAAAACGACTTACCTTACCCTTTAAAATGTCAAAGCATGAATTTCCCATGATTAGTACTTTTAAAGTAAAAGGGATAAAAAGAAAAAAACGAAGAGAAGGAAGAGTGAAAGGACTCTCCACTCTGGATGTGTGTTTTGTGTGTGTGTGTGTGTGTGTGTGTGACAAAAGCCAGACATGATAGCAGTGAAAGAGAGGCAGAGTGGGAGAGAAGAGGAGGAAAAAGGAAGCAGATGCTTGTGTGTTGGCACAAAAATGATATGTCCACTCAGTCACACACACTCTCACACAAACACACACACACACTCACAGGCACAGAGAGCAATTGCTCAGTCCACAGAAGGAGCAGCACATTAAAGAGTTCCAGTATTGTATTGTAAAATATTACTGACCAACTGCAAAGTGGACCTCAAGGCCACAGAGCGATTGCATGGCAACAAAATGGAGTGTCAAGGTGTGTGTGGGGGGTGAGGGTCATCTCAAATTGAAGAGAGAAACATAATGCAGCAGAAAGATGGTTTGAAAGGGACAAACAAACTAAAAAATGATCGATGATCAAGTGACAGGGGTGCATGTAAACTTGTAAAACAACATTTAACAACATGCTAAATCAATGTAAACGCGTACACACACTTGAGTAAACGTTGTCAGCCTCTCCTGTGTTAATGGAGGGAGGTAGAAAGACTTCAAGTAAAACAGAGAAGATAAGGAACAACACACACTCAAACACAAATACGGCCTCTTTCTGTTTGTATACCTTGAGAATCAAACATACGGTGTTTGTGCAGTGATTTCTTAGGAGCCGGGTGTGTGTGTGTTTTTCCTTTTGTGCAACACGGCGAGTGAGGATGGAAAGGAAACAGAGAGATGGGTGGAAAAGCAGGTGGAAAGACGTACGGAGAGGTGAAGAGACGGAGTCAACTGAGGACACAAACACACACAGACAGCTCAGACATCTCCATCAGCATCATGTTGACAGCGTGAAGAGAAAAAGCAATCCTTTAGGAGGCAGAGGAGTGGTTTATATTCACAGGAGAGGAGAGGAGGGGAGGGGAGGGAGAAAGGAAGGAGGGAGGTGGGGATAAACAGGGATGAGAGAGGAACAATGAGACAAAAAAAAGAGAAGAAGGGGGAGTAACTGTTGGATAGAAAAGGAGACATGAAGAAGAGATGGTGAGTTGAAGTAAAGGAAGAAGAAGGTCTGAGGGTGCAAAGGAAGAAAAGAAACAGGATGAAATAAGACAAAAGTCGGGAAAGTGGAAGTGTCACTATTCATCAGTGACTTTGGTTAGAATACACAGCCAAAAAAAAAAAGAAAAGAAAACATCCGTTTGATAAAGTTACTGAGTGCTAAATTCCTAATGTCCTCTCAAGGACTGCGTGTCATCATCTTGATACTTCCTAGACTTTTATCTTTAAGATACTGACACTTATTTCAAGAAAGAAGCTGCATTGCTGGAATTCACTCACACCTGTTAGCTGAAGAAAAAAAAACTAATTTAAAAGCTGAATAGAAAACATTCTGTAATTGCAGTCCAGGAATCAGTGGGATTTTGGTAACGAATGAAAAACAACAGCAGCATCAAACACAGATACACATCAAAATAACATTAGAGACAAGTGCAGTGCCCATTCAAATCATGCTTGTTTGGTACAGGCCGATTGCTTGGCCTGTAGTGCTGTTTCCTTAAGAACTGCTCAAAGAAACTTCAAAGTCAACACTGCGCTTCTTTGGGTCCTTAGCAATGCACCTGGGCCCCAAACAGCTAGAGGTTTATTATGATGTTAGATATGAAAAATATTGAATTATGGTGCTATTCCAAGTCATTGTACCCCAAAATATTACACACACACACACATATGTATATATATATATATATATATATATATATATATATATATATATATAAAATACTGTGTGCTTCTACTACAGCCGCCCCCGAAAGTTGGAGATGCAAATCAGTCCAGCTGTTGTTTTTTTGTTTTGTTCATGTATTTTTTTTTTATTTATTTATTTTTTTTGTCAGTCAGTGTGCAGTGTACTTCTGAGGAAGTTTTGCTCCCCAGATTTAGCTCCTCTGTACAGGCAGCTGTGTACATGGAGGCAGCCTCCTGGAGGAAGAGAGGCTTTGCCCGGTCAGGCTCTGAGATAACGTTATCTTTTACCTTCTGCTCAGAGGAATTCAATTTACAGCTTACAGCAACTGAACATTATACAGTCTATGACTTTTGTTTTATATCTGTTATTGGCAAAAAATGTTGTTGCACATTTCCAATCAGTTGTTGTTACATTCAAACTCTCAAACTCTTTATGGGAAAAAAGGGACGAATAGTCAGATATTTGTTTTGAAGAGCCAAATCTGATTCGACTGAGTCGGGTTTGGTCCTAACTTCTAGTTCTTCTAGGGAAACATAGCCCTGCTACATTTACCTGACGTAGATGTGTTGCAGATTCAGATGCTACTCAGAAACTAGTTGTGGATACTCGTGGTCAGAAACACTGGTGAAATACACAATTTCAAATAGGTGTATTAGTCGCTTGATTCGACATAACCACCACAGTCAAAAAGAGGATCAGTTTAATTTGTGGAGGGATTTTGTTGGCTGTAACTTTATTCGTTTTTTAAGTTATTATGGCAAACTTACACAATGGACGTAGATAAAGACATGTTGACTAAGCCCTGAAGCCCTGAAGCCCCACCCTGCATAGAGTAACAGAGCGTCATTCCCTTGTTAAATCAAAATCTGTAATATTGAACATATAGTGTCTAAACTGCACCAAATTCAACATCTGCCACGTGTGAACAGTTGTCAAGATATATTAAGGACACACACATACATACAGTGATTACGTGCTTTATAGTCAGATGATAATTAGTGAGGCAAGCTATTCTTCTGCTCACTGAGGTTTCTTCTGAGGTGTGTGTGTGTGTGTGTGTGTGTGTGTGTGTGTGTGACTGAGTGTGCTGCTCTGCCATGCTGCCTGGATGAAGTGAGGATGCTCTCAGTGATAAGTATTTCCTGGGTGATGATAGTTGATGTTCCACATGACTGTAACTTAAGTCTGTGTTAAGTTTTTTTCTATTTTGGATGTGTTAAATTGGGCCAGTGTATCCATAAAGAACTAACCTACTTATAAAGGGCTCTCCTTTATTCTAAAAATAAGTTTTAGTACAACACTACCCTTTTGTGCTTGTGGCCTGCACTGTAAGAAATGACTAAATTAGCAAAGCAGACGTCACTGTTGCTAAGTGCTTATCTCTGTGCTATTTCTGCAGGTTTTCAGGTGATGCTTTGAGTTGCTTCAGGTGGCGCTCGTTTGTGTTTTCACTGCTCATCCTTTCTTAGTTTATTGTAAACAAGCAGCTACTATTGTTGGTACTAGAAAAATATAATTTTTTTAAGAAGTTTTTTAAGAGCAGCAAATTCTGTTAAATCTCAACTTGTAAGCAAAATAGAGCAGTGTAATTAATATTCACAATCATGAAATTGTTTTTATGGTAATTATGGTTCAATATATTAAAAACTGTCACACTGTCGACACTTGAAAGAAGCTTCCTGTTTTGAAATGAATGCATGTTCACATTTGTCCTACATATACTTTGATCAAACGGCCCATAACATCACCCCCAATATAAAACTGAAAGAAACTGCTAAAAGATTCAGAGATTCTGATGATGCAAATCTGCAAATAACAATAGCCCGCAACACAGTGGGAAACAGTTAAGAACGAGCAGTGAACGCATCAGGGCGAGTAGCCTCAAAGCGGGTGACATTTGTTAAAAGTACCAAGCGTGTCCGTCTGTGCATTGAGAAGTTTTTACTTTAAATATCTTCAAATAAGTGCGATATATAATAAATACTCAGTAAGTTTCATATTTCCAAGAAGAGATGAAGAACAGAGGAGCCAACGAGGAGGACAATGAAGGGAGCGAGTGAGAGGATGAGAGAAAGGAAAGAGACGAGGAGGGAAAAAGAAGGAGGGAGGGCGTCCCTGTAGGCCTCTTTGTTGGGCAGCGATGTAGAGATTTACAGGCTCTTGTCCTTCTGTGTGTGTGTGAGTGCATCTGTGTCTGTGTCTGTGTCTGTGTGTGTGTGTGTGTGTGTGTGTGTGTGTGTGTGTGTGTGTGTGTGTGTGAAGAGAGAGTAATTGAGCCTCCCTTCATCCAATATTTACCCACCAAACCGGAGCAATCATGCGAATTATGTTTACTGGGAACGAAGTGTCTTTCTTCCTCTTTATCTTTCTTTCTCTTTCCCACTTTCCTCATTCCTCACCCACTCCCTCTCTCCTGGCAACTAGACACCATATCAAGATCCAAGCCAGGAGTAAATCACACACACACACACACACACACACACACACACACACAAACACACACTCACACACACACGGGGGGAAACAGGCCCATCTGTATTGATGATGGCCTAATTTAGATCTCTTTATTGGACTGATTTACGATGGCCAGACAAATCTGGGCATCTGGACCCAAGTGTGTGTCTCAATGCATGTTTGTGTGTTTGTCCAGTTGAGCCGAAACCCAACCGGACACACAATATTCTCCCTGCTTCATTTCATTCTTATTGCTTGTGTTTTTTCCTACCTCTCTGTGAACCAGCGGTGTCCTTTTCTCCCCCCGTCATAGTCTTGTTTAAGCACTTTGACTCCTCTCGCTGCTGCAATGATGACGCACGCCATCCTGAAACATTTTAAAAATACACCAATCATCATGCTGAACAAGGCAGGGGCAGCACTGCAACACAAAAACACTCAGGCCAGGGTTCTTCTGGGTCAAGGTCACTGAATCTCTTAATGTTCTGCTGTGCATGGAGGTTTTTGTATCGCAGCTTTTTGCGATTTAGATGTCAATCACAAACAATCCCCTGCATGTACAGTGAACTGGAGGACTTTGAAAGACGTTCATGCTATGAGACTTTGTGAAGACAGGGGATCTTGCATGGTAGAGCCCTGCGTGGGACTGTTAGTCCTGCCCCTGCCCGCTCCCGCTAGATTTCTGACCATTACTGCCCGCTCCCGTAGTATGTCTCTCCACGAAGAGAACAAAGACTTGTTCATGTTCTTCAGCCACCCTGGAGTCATCACCTTGTTTACTGTCTATCCAGTTTTCTGCTTCCTGTTTTATGCTGGAGAGAGCACAGGTATTGGTTGTTGACAATGTTCACATCATTGAACTTCACTATTTGCATGAGCCAAAACTAAAACCTTATGATAATATTAAACATGTTTGATTTGATTAAAGTAAAGGGAAGAAAAAGACTGACTTAAAACAGCTCATTTTATGGCCACCTCACACCCAATGATCAAGATCACAGGAGAGCGACATAAGTCTAAAACTCTCATGATTTTATTCCAACATTAGAAATTCGTCTGTGACAGTGTAATTGCTTGAAAAGCTGTTTGGTGTGAGGCCCACAGCATGTTAAGTGTTTCAAGGATGCACCTCACTATAAAGATGACAATTCACATCAGCAAGGAGAAAGTGTTAGGAAAAAGAGTTCTGGGAAGATGTTAAAAAGAGTGGATTTGTCTTTTTTTAAGATAAGAGCAAATTTGGAAGACTGCAGGATGAAGGGATGTAATCCAGGAGGGAGAGGACGCCTCAAAGGCACATTCAACTTCAAGATCAAGCTCAGGTTTCAACTTTTATTTGTCCCAGTGGGCAGATTCACAGACACTATAAAAAAAACAGCAGCTTGACTTTGGGGCTTTCTTGATTTTCTTTCAGAGGTAAAACAAAAAGGTCTCGCCTAAAATAACAAAAATGTTTTGGCACCTGCTGAGGTTTAATGATCAAACCTCATTTCTTTTTATAACATTTGCTAAAAGGGAAAGTTCTCGTTTGTTACAACTGCCGTAATTTCTTTTTCTTTTCTTTTTTCCATTATATGTTTATTTGGAAAAGGCAATATAATGGGGTGTACAAAACCCTTTAGATATTTTTACATACATGCACATATGCATATGCACAGAGAAAGGAAGGAGCCACAATGGCTGTGGGCCGCAACTCAGTCCTCAGTCCATCTTATACTATATATACTGACATATACCCTCTCATGTATGCATGTGTTTGGGAAGTACTTAACATTCAACTGGACACATGAGACTTGAATTATTCTGCAGGAATTGTATGAGAGTTTGTAAATGGATGGTTTGATATAGTTTTGCTGTGGTTGAACCTAGTCCCCAATCTATCAATAAATTATTTTCGCTGTTCTCCATGGACGGCATTCTTCATGAATTCAAGGTAACACAGCATGACTAACTGGTATAAAAACGGTCATTTTGTGGGTGAAGTATGCCTTCAATTGCTGAGATCTAAAATGCAGCAGCATCACTAAAAAGAAGAAAAACAAGCAGTCAGACAATCCGATCTTTAAACTGCCAGGTTAGTCAAACTTGTGCAAGAACTAACTGTTATAAACATTTATCACAGTTTATGGACCAACTTCTTTGGCTCAACTTTGACCTATCATACTTCCTGTAGTTGTAATAAGGGATTATCACTGACATTTTGAGAGCACTCACGTTTCATTTCACCTTCAAGTGGTTTCGATGATCTGGCATGTTGTCTCGCCACTTTTTCTTGCCCTGTTGTACTTTGTTATAGCGATTTCGCTGCATTCCCAGATCAAAGCAATGACTCTTGCGAGTCCGATGTGACCATAACTGACAGGAATAACAGCCAAAACTACAAAAATAAGAATGATTTCATCTAAAATCTAAAATGTCTGCATCAGCGTAGACATCTGTAAAATGTAATCTTTGGTGTGTGTATGAGAAAGTGTGTGTGTGTGTGTACAGTAGTGTCTATAGCAAGACAGTGACAGAGGGCCTCATTGAAATAACTGTGGTCTCAAGGGGCCAACTAAAAAGAGAGAGAGGGTAGGTGAGGGTAGACAGACTATATGAGAGTCCAGGGAATCATTTAGGGTGTGTGTGTGTGTGTGTGTGTGTGTGTGTGTGTGTGTGTGTGTGAGTGTGTGAGTGTGTGTAAGGGGTGATTCATCCGTTCTGGTGGCGGCTAACCTTGGCATGTCCTGCCACGCGTGACGGGGTTACATCTAGACGGCACTCTGTCGTCCTCTAGGAGTGTGTGTGCAAGAGAGTTTGTTGGGGTGTACAGGAGCATGCTCCTTGTCTGGAAGAGTCAGCCTCCTGTGTGTGTGTGTGTGTGCGTTAGTGAGTGTGTGTGTCTGTGCATCTGCATGCAAGAAAAAGAGACAAAGAAGAAGAAAAAAGAGCGAACGGGAGGAGAGAGAACCACAGTCAGGTTGTTTAGTGTCTTTGTATGATCTTGCCCCCGGGAGAAAGGGCAGAAAAAAGAATAAAAAATGTGTGTGTGTGTGTGTGTGTGTGTGTGTGTGTGTGTGTGCCATTGTTCTGCTGTCAAACACTGCAATGAGCACACACACAGCATTAAAACACACACACAGACACACGCACACACAAAAAAAAAGCCCTGCGATGACAGTATATTTATGCCTGCATGTGGAAAGGACAATTGTATCCCTGCAATCCCTTCGTTCTTGTTTAAACTCTGCCACACACACACTGACAGATCACAGACAACTGTTCACCTGCCATTGTCAAGGACTGAGTGTGTCATCTGTCTTCGTGTGTGCGTGTGCATAAGGAACTCTTGACACCAAACACACACACGCAGCTGGGGGCTTTTAAGAAAGGGGAAGTACGTTTAGGGGAAGTTGACAGCTGAAGAAGTTGGTACATGAATAGTATTATATGGACACCTGAAACACACGCACACTTAACCCAATTCTTCTTCACTTTCACTCACAGAATCACTTTTTTAAAAGCATTCTCTGTATCTGAAGATGCTTGCATATCTGATTTTAGACCTGCCTGTCAACAACATTAATGATGAGAATAAAAAACATGTTTTCATCATTTTTCCAAAAAGTCAGAATTACACAGGGTGCACATCATAATATTATCTGCATATTGAAAGCCAATATGGTCAATGAGGATGAAACAGGCCTACCTGACTGTAAAGACAGTGACCAAAGGGAAGAGTACATTATAGATGAGGGAGACACCCCAGTAGTGTTAGTGTCAGGTTAGTGAGAACTCCTGCTACCTTGCTGTTTTAAAACTGTCACACGCAATTGCATATTTCCACCCACAATGTTGTTGCATGTGGATTGAAAACACAATTGCATTTACACTTTATTCAATGTGCACACAATGTGTCCCTGACCACCACCATGTGGTCATAAATATTTGGACATCCCTGTCCACAATAGTTTGTCTACCTTTAAGTCCAGTGCTTCATTGTGAGATCTTCTATAGAGTCATCCCCTAAACAATGGAGGCTGTTAAAGCAGCAGATTAACGTTCACGGTTTTGGAATGAGATGCTCAACAATCACAAAGTTATGGGTGTAAGGTTCGGGTTACCACAAAGCAGGTCTGCACACTGCCGGCTCCAAATACAGAGTTTATTTCTCTTTTTAAGGCAATATTTTGATCTACAAAATCTTCCCCAGGCCTTCCGTTAATAAATCAAAATGTTACCTTGAAAAAAAAGAGAAAGAGAAAAAAGATAAATAAACCATTCGGAACTGGACATAATTGCCTGTGAAAATTGCCTGGACGTACACACACTTCTTGTGATAAAATGTAAGGGTGTCCACAAACTTTTGACCTTTTATTGTATGCCTCAACGTACTTTCTACTCAGAAAACACGAATGCACTTTACACACTCATACAGAAGTAACACAGTTCTGTATTTTTAGCATAAATGCTGTATTATTTATTTAGGACAGGAAAGGGGAAGGTGATTGAAGGGAAGTTCCTCATCCGTTTAAACAATCAAAGCAAGCATATCACTCATGATTTCCTTTATCTTTCTGCCCCCTTCCCTCCCCCTCACCCCACTTCCTTTTTCTTCATCAGGTTCCTGAGCGATTTCTGGAGGTGGCCCAGGTGACTCTGCGCGAGTTCTTTAACGCCATTGTGGCTGGAAAGGACGCAGACCCATCCTGGAAGAAGGCCATCTACAAGGTGATCTGCAAACTGGACAGCGAGGTTCCTGATGTCTTCAAATCCCCCAACTGTCTACAAGAACTCCTCCATGACTGACTAGGGCGAAGGAGGAAACGCAGCGAGCAAGACAAACCTCTAAGGACAGTGAGAAGACTGTAAGAAAGCACGACTTAGACTAGGTTGAGGTCTTCAGTGAAGTGCGTTTGACAGTTGTAACGCAATGCAGAGACTTGAAGTGGTTCTACTTTGAGGCTTCTGGAGAGGTTTGTTGATGGTTGTTTTTGGTCAGCCCAACTTTTAAAGACAAACCTGCCCTCAAAATGTTTTCTAAAGAAAAAAAAAATTCCTCTTGAACGAGGTAGAGGGCTCGAACTCAGAGTCAGACAATGCTCAAATTAACATATTGTGAGACTTTTATAAATTAAAAGCAAAACAGTGAAAATCCTTGCACTTACAGAAAAACTCCACCATGCCGAAAACCCCTGTCTTCTCTTTCTCCTCCACCTCGTCCAAGCTCGCTCTTCATCCTTCTCTGGAGGAACAAAGTGAGGAGGAAGATGATGGATCAATCTTCAGCCCGTGACTTGGGGTCGGGGGCGAACTAAAAATAAAGATGATAATATATAAAAATCTTTTTATTGTGGATGTTTTTAAGTTACATGGACATTTTGGAAAAAAAAGTGATGTTTCTGTATTTTTTCTCCTTTGTATAAGCGTACAGCCTCTCTTCTATGAACCCCTCAGTCACTCACATAGATATACATGCATACACAGGAACACACACGTACACACCTCTTGAATAGGAAAGCACAGTAGCATTCCCAAATCCTCACCTGAACCCAGAAAAACTGGACATAAATAAACTTAGTTGTTGTTTATTTCCCTTCTTTTTTCCCCCCTCCTATTTTTACTTCTCCCTCTTCTTACTGTACTGAGACTTACTGGGTGTTTGTTTTGACTGTGTGGCTCTCCCTGCCCCACCCCTTCCTGTCCGCCCCTCTTGGCTCATGTTGCATTCAGGCACCCAGAGCATCAAAGACCCAAAACTTTTTATTTCATCTCTCAGATCGAGATACTATCAGTTACATTTTTACAATATTTGAAAAAGACACAAGACAAATTGAATGGAAAACTGGAAAATCAGATTGATTCGTTTACCGCAGTTACTGCACTTATTTTACTTATTTTCAATGATAATATTGATAATTGAGGATGGTCCCTTTTTCCTTGGTTTTTACATGGCAGACATCTTTGAAATTTATATTTTGTTATGGATGATTGGCGACAAATAACGAACTGAGTGGAACATTTTACAGTTGAAAAAGAAACCTGTTTCCTTGCTTTTTGGTGGGCAAACTATGAAAAAGAGACACTGTCTCTTAATTATTTTGGCATATCTGCACCACAATTTCTGACCAAATACACCAGCATTATCTATACATATCTGTGACAAGCTAGTATCTGGTCCAACTACTACTAACTTATTTATATTTTCAATGTATAGCACTGATGCTAGATAAATTTGGGATCCAGCATTGCAACCCAATCAGCGGAATAAGTGTTGGCTTTGGCTTCTGCCAGCCACGGATACATTTTATTTGTATGTTTCATATGTAACTGACATGTATAAACTTTGTTTCTTTATGATTCAGTTTTTAATTTTTATGTTGTGACAACACTGTGGTTAAAGTGTGGTACGGTTTAGGCATTAAAAAAACAGTAAGGGTTAGGAAAAAATCATGCTTTAGTTTGAAGTACCCAGTTTGATCACTACAGACACAGCTGGACATGTCCCAAATTGTTGTTAAAAAACACTTGGTTTGGTTGCTACAAACACTGTTGGATCTGTGTTAAAAAGATGTAGTTTGGTCACGCCGGTGGGCATGTCCTGCCGTTCAACACTTGCTGTTGTCGCTACAATCATGGCTGGACATGTCCAGAACTGTGTTCAAAAATGTCCAGTTTGGTTGCTACAAACATGGCTAGATATGTCTTAAACTATCGTTAAAAAACACTTGGTTTGGTCGCTGCAAATACGGGTGGACATGTCCAAAACTGTCATTAAGAAAACACCTGCTTTTTTTGCAACAAACACAGCTGAAGGGTCTCAAACTCTTGTTAATAAACACCTGTTATTTTTTTTATAAGAACACAGCTGGAAATGTCTCAGACTCTCCTCAAAAAATACCCAATTTTGTCGCTACAAACATTGCTAGACATGCTCCAAACGACCGTTTTAAACACTTGGTTTAGTCGCTGCAAACAGGGCTGGACATGTGCGAAACTGTTAAGAAAGGGTTTCTTAACTGGTAAGAAAAGGTTTTTTTTCGACAAACATGTCTGATGGGTCTCAAACTCTTGTTAAAAATAAAAAAAAAAACTGGAAATGTCCCGAACTCACTCTCCAAAAAAGAATCCAGTTTTGTCGCTACAAATATGGCTAGACATGTCCCAAACTACCCTCAGAAACACTTGGTTTCGTGTCTGAAACTGTTATTGAGAAAACACACGCTTTTTTTTTTTTTTTTTTTGCAGCAAATAGGGCTGATGGATCTCAGGAAAAACAAAAAAAGTAACAAACAAACAAAAAATTGGAAATGTCTCATACTCTCGGCAAAAAGAACCCAGTTTTGTAACTACAAACATGGCTGGACATGCCCCAAGCTCTCATTAAAAACACCTGCTCTTGTTGGTCTCAAATAGTGGTCTCCTGCTGTCTGTTGCTTGGCAGCTATCTTGGCTTATATATGTAATCTGATCTACATCATACATATGAAACCTATGAATATAACATTCATGGTGTGCAGAAACATAAAATACCTACATTTTATTCAAGAAATTGGGCTCAGTAGTGATGACATGTTAGTGTCATAACAATTTTGGTATTGTTCTTTTTTTTTTTTTTTTTAAATTTAATTTGTGTTGGATGCTTCATTTGTTCATTGTGAGATTATCAGATTATTGATTATTTACGATCAGTACGTTCAGTTTAAATGCAAAGTGGATTCACGCTATTGTAAATCATTGTAATAGTGAATGAATCATTTTGTAACAATTGACAGGAAGCAACTCATTCATTCCAGTTTAATGTGCTTTGCAGATCACTCTCTAAGCAGCACGTCATTCCCACATGATGCTAACACAAGAATCATTCTTCATGGTGCTCTGGGACAGGCTAACCTTTGGTGATACACACTTGCACAAAGGATTTTAACACTTACAGTATAAACACTGGTGACTAACCATGGTTTAATCAGCTATTCTTAAAACCTCAGAGATGTCAAAATTCAATCCCCCTTTATGCTGAAATTGTAAGTCACTGCAAGAAAAACAGATTTTTCTCTTTGCTCTGGGTGGCCAAGAGGGGCAGCTGCACCGGCCGGGTCATGTGTGAAGTGTTTAAGGTTTTAACAGCAGAAAAAAAAGACATAGGACAAAATGCTGATATTTGTAGCTTGTATAGATGTAATAATTACTCTGATCATATCTGATATTGTTATTATTTATAATTGAAATAATTATTCCCATTAATGTTATTCTGATGATGATGATTATTATTAATGCTTGCTACAGATCTGACCAGTGGTTTACTCATTGTTTATCCATCACACTGCAACATGAAATAAATTATTCTTTGAAAAAACAAGAGTATGTAAACAAGTGTATGATTGTACTTTTCTCTGTTCTATTTGTGTTCAGCAGAGGTGTGGAGGGCGTTGACTGTTTGCATGTGCCTGCCCACACACACCAAATCGCCATCAAGCAGTAACTAGGCAACATGATGGCCACTTTAACTCTGTCCATGCCCTCACTCCCTCACTCACTCTCTCCCTCCGTCTCCCTCTCTCTGGATTCTGTATAGGGGACATGTGATCCCTTGTTGTTGTTGCTGATGAATTGAAAAGAGGAGCGCTGTGTGATTATTGTCAGCACAAAAGCCTCAAAAAGCTGCTGACGCCTAGATTAGCCAGTACAAAGACGCAGGGACAGACACACACACACACAAAAAGACATAGGTGCAGACTCACACTTACACACACACACAAAGGCACAGGGACAAGGCCTGTCTGCCCTCGTTGCCCTACCATCCTCCTCACTCCTCTATCCGTCCTCTGTTCATCCTCTCTCACCCCTTCATCATTGACGTTGCTCCTCCTCGTCCCCTATTTACCTCGCCTGTCTCCTCTCCTCCTTGCCTGCTTTCTTGTAGGTTTTATTTCTGTCCTCCTCTCACACCACTTACCTCCCTAACACTCACAAACACACACCATGCCCTCTGTGTGCTGGCGCCAAACGCTAACTGGCATCACACAATGCCAACCACCATCACCAGCATGGGATAAAGTGCCAGCACTCAATGTGCCTCTCTTTTTTCTCGTCTCTCTCTCCCTCCCTCTCTCCGTCTCTCCCTCTTTCTCTCAAGGTGTGTATAAAAGACGACTACACGCACTTCTGTGCTCAAGTTTAAATACAATCCCAACAATACCATGACAGCATTTGTATGTAATAATGCATATTTTGCCAGAAATCCAATGAAGATGATAGCACAATAAACTGTTAGTATTCTGAAGAGTGACAGCCCCTGTAAAAATCAGGAATCAGACTAAAGTGATAAGAAAGTTACTCAGAAAACATCACAGAATAAAAAAAGCTATTAAAAAAAGAGTCCACAGCCACACCAGTGAGACTGTACTAAGTAGGCACTGTGATGACTGAGCTAAATGCAAATGTCCTGATGTTTAGCAGGTACAATGTTAACCATGTTCATGTTATTTTACGGTGGTGGCATGCGAACATTTGCTTATTGGCACTAAACACAAAGCAGAGACCTTAAACCTGATTTTGAGAAAATACAACAACAGACAGCCATATGTAAACAATGCTGTTATGAGATAAAACACAGCGTACCTGTCTGAACGAGCATCTGATTCTGCTAACTTCTCACTACAGCAACATTAGCTGCTCTGTTTCAACAGTGTTCGGCTGAAAAAAAAAACATGCATGCAGGCTGAAATTTAACTGAGCTGTTCTGTCGGGAGATGCAGTGACTTAAATCAATGTTGAGTAAGAAAAATAATACCATTACATGTAATTTGTTAAGCTATGAGTAGAGGAGAAAAGTCTGCTAGCTGCTTGGCTAATTTATACAATGGAAACATACTTAAGCTAATAATGTGTGACTAGCAAAAACAATTGTTTTGTCCATGATCCTTGACAGTTATTATTGAGCTGTATTTGATACTTTTGTTAAATGATGCTGTTAATCCATGTTTTATGGCTGTTTGGAGACGTTTGCTTTCAGGGCTTTACACCAGATAGACCTGAAGTTTTATGAATATGACGACGGTTTGGGTTCAAATGAAAAGATTTCCTTCTGGCAGACAGGCCTTAGGGTTAACTCATCCCATGTGCTGTTTTGTGTATGTCAGTGGAGTCAGTTTAAAGGGAACTTTACTGCACTTACGTGGTTACTATTTATTACGTTATTTATGTGTTGTTTTTATCTCTTATGGCCAAAAGCAAAAAAGAAAGGGGTAGCAGCTTCTTCTGTAACCGATTGTGTTAAAAATGGGCAGATGATATCGTCTCATATCGATCACAGGCCTCTTAATCACATTGAATCAAAATCG